CCATCGAAACTGAAGGAATTTGCATTTCATGCGTTTTAATTCAACGAGACGGGGTATATAGTTGATTTGATTAATTTTGTCTACATGAATCTACATGAAAGAAAAAATATTAGTAAACAAAATGTAACTAATTAACTAAATATTAAAAGTAAATACTCACTAAAATATAACTCATATTATTTTCAAACTCTTTGTCGTGAATCCCTCCCAATGCTTTAACAGCAGTTATCATTTCTTGGACTTCAATGGTTTTTTCATTGCCATATATTCCGACATATGGTCGAGTTTTACACATCTCTGGTAATTCATTGTATTTGTTCGCACAAACGACCATCTTGATTGGATACGCAATTTCATCCTTAACAGTTGGGGAAGGTAGCGGTCGATAACATGATTGAATTGAAAAAGGCTCATCATCCCTTATAGTCTTTGGAATTACAATAAATTTCTCTTTCGGACGAGGGGATATCTTGAGCGTAATACACGTTCTTTGAGAATTTGGAAATACGAGAAAACATATTTTTTTTGGTTTGTCAAGCCAAATAACCCCAACCTTCAATTCAAAATTATTTGTTAGTCCCAGTTTCGCAATAGATAGTATTATTGATATGAGAGTGTATGATGGAACAGAATACGTGATGGTCTCATATCAAGGTATCTATCTATTCCAGTTTCTATCCCTGTGATCGTTGAATGTGAGTTAATCCTTATTATCATTTCATATTGTAATAGATGCAACTAAACTACCTGAATGGCATCCGATTAGCAGATTGCGCAACGCTGAAGGCTTGATAAAGGAATATAAAATCAAGGCGAGCCAAGCTGAGCAACGTCAAGCAGAAAGAAAAGCGCGTGAGGTAGTGAATACAACTAAATCTTATCAAGTTATTATTAAGATCTTGATCAAACTGTCTTTCGTTCATATAGGGAAAATTGCAAAAGATAGGTGGACAGATTAAATCTCAACAAGATTGCGTTAAAGAAGTCAAGGACATTAATGTTATTTGTAAAAACAAAAGGCATGACAATTCTCAGAGATCGACTGAATCAGTAAAGAATCAGAAAACTGCAAATTTTCATCCTGCCCTAGGCAGAAATTATAAATCTGATGGTGAAATGACAGACGTTGAGTGTGTGTTTGAACAAAGCGACAAACTTTTAATAGGAATTGGGGAGTGCTTATCTGGGAAACCTGTATCAAACGTAAAAATTAAATGTGCTTTGAAAAACGAGTGTGTATCTAAAGATGGTCTTGGAAATACAGTATTTGTTAAGCGTGTTGGAAAAAGAAAAACAAAAACTTGTAAAAAAACACTTAGACCAATTGTGGTTTTGAATGATGGCATGGAATCTTCAATTAGTGAAATGTCATCTGATGA